CTCTGGAGGAGACTTGACACAGCCAAAACAATTGTAGTTTTATGTGCAGACTTAAAATATATTTTCTTTTGAATGTCAGTGACAACCGCCTGACTCTCTTCTGACTCAGGTCTATTTTGTTATTTATTCCCATTTCAATGAATATCTTGCATGCTCTCATCTTGTGTTTAAACTGCTGACCTATCTGTTCTTTTGCTATCACCTACTGAAATATTAATTAACAAATTCCACCCGTCGTCACCGTGATAAACTAGACATTTCCCTGCTGAATCAAGTAAAAACAAGTAAGGACATCTTGACATTTTTAAAAGGACTTAAGAGTAATAATAACTTTGACAGGATCATTGCTTAACAAACAAAACAAACTAAATACCCCTCTAAACCCTGGCTATATTTGGTTTTCTACCTTGATCTATGGAGAACACTTGCTCATTTGTTACTGTTTATCATCAAACTTTTGCATTAGATTATCCATTCTCCGACAAACTCCTCATGGTGGTTACTGGGACCTTCAAGTTTGCTGCATTACCTCTACAGAGACCACGGCTTCCTCCCTGTCAATCTTCAGCTGGTGAAGGTGCCCATCCGCCATGTTTTTAAAATCAAAGTTAAAAGCGTCTGGATCTCGATGTCTGTCTAGCTTGTACCTGACCTGCAAACTTCCTAAAGAGGAAAATAAATGACATTTTAAATTACAATGGTATTTTACAAATATTTCAATGCAGATTCTAGAGCACTTATATTATTACTTATTTCATGCACCTTTAACTGTATTTAGCATTGACTTGAATGTACTCAACACTTGCCTCTTCTATACTAGAGGTGGCTTAAGTGCCAACCTGAGTCCAACTGTACTGTTTCTAAGTCAAGATCTGGTGCATTGATAATCACTGGTCTTCTAAATCTTTCCAAAATGAAGAAGTTTAAATTATACATATGGAAACTCAGAACTTAAATCTAAATCACAACTATATTTATCTTAGAAATTGATAAAACTGTAACACTGAATCAATATTCAGTTCCTATTATTATAACTTCTTTAATAGCACCTATTTTGATGTGTTACTGATGTGTGCATATTTAAGTTTTTATTTTGCAACCAGAGTTTCCTTATGAAGTCTTCTACCATAACCAAAGAATAGGGAAGAGAAAAGGTTTTATTAGAAGATGAGGTTTGTGTAGTTTTTAAACATACTTAGCTCTCCTACACAGATATATCCTCAGGACTCATAACTCTTAACATCTTACATGAAGATTCTGATTCTATAGGATTGTCTAGAAATCAGATTTTTGTCCTAATTCACTAAATATAAAGTATGACTTCACTGTTCCACTGTGAAAGTCCTGTAATGCCCCAGCTGCCACTGGTGGAGAGATTGTCCCCTCACTGTTCTTAGGTGGATGTCATCTAACTTGCTTGTCAACCATGGATGAGATAAAGAACCATTGTATTTATCAACTGCTTAAGGAAATTGGAGCTTTTATACAGCTCCATGATATCATCCAGCTGCTTTTATACAGCTCCATGATATCATCCATATTAATGCTCTTCTACTTACTTAGAATGAGCAGGAAATAAATACCTGGCAAATATCCAAATATCTTATTTCAAACAGTCTTAGATCATCATGGGGTATTAAAGCATCCTAGCAATCGTTAAGTGTAATTTCACATCAAATCTGTGAAATTGTCATTCTTGGAATGGGAAAAAGCATCTTAATTTAACCTTTAAATACTACTTTTTATGATAAGCATTATGGAGAGTACTGAAAAACCAAAGTGCATCTTAGAAGCGCATGCGATTTTTTTTACTTGTAGTTTAAGTGCTGAAAAGACCCATATCATTATAGTCCTATTTTTCTAATTCAGTGTTTTCTCTCTTTTTTCTTCACACAAAAGATATTCACCATTGTTGGCCAGGATAATGGAAAGGTATTCCTCATAGAAAGAGCTCACATAAAGCAGTAAGCTGGGTGTCCGAGTGGTTCGGAAGCTCAGGGTGACGGTCTCTTGGGACAGTGTGACATCCCTGTGTAATGAAGAAGCCAGGGAGCTGGTGTTGTCACCTAAGGGGTGATGATCTTGAAAATCATAGGTCACGGAGGAGCCAGTTTCAAAATATGCAGAAATCTCTAGAAGGAAAAGCACATTTTTGTCATGTTAACAGAATGCAAATACAAGTCTTATGGAAAGAATGTCTCAATGTTTTATTTTATTTTGTTTACTCATATAAAGTAACAATAGCACCATCTCTTTTCTGTGTTTCTGGGTTCCCCATCTGTGGAGTCAGTCAACCTCGGACTAAAAAAATTTGAAAATAAATTAATTGTGTCTGTATTGAACACGTACAGACTTTGTTCTAGACATGATTCCCTAAACGATACAGTATAACATTTAAAAAATGTATTTAAAAAACAATTTAATCCTTTTATCCTGGAAGATAAAATGGCAAAATGTCTTGTTTTTACATGTTTTAACTTTAAATTTTTTAAAAAATAAAATTTGAAGAACAAAGTAACAAATCCCAACACATAGCCCAGAATGACATTTGCTGGAGATTTCACTTAATTCTCCAAATTATCTTTAACTAAGACTTACAAATGATTAGTTCTTCTGTATAAATATATAATTTAGAGGCAGCTGCTTTGAGGTCTCAATTTTGAGGGGTTGGGGGGGTTCAGTTTTGGATTCCATTTTTTTCTAAGAGGTTAATTTTTACATATCTTTATTAAGATCTAAGCCTTATACCATGAAATAGATCCAGTTAAAATGTAAAATTGCCTATCTTCAGATATTCATGGACATGTGCATCCATCACTACCGTCAGTGTTAGTGCCTCTTCATCAATCCTCTCCATCCTCATCCCACCCCCCAAAAAAATTTCATATTCAGGTGGAATTCATTCTGTTTCTCCCCAATATCCTAACTGAGGCAATCACAAATCTATTTTCTATATTTTTAGACATTCCTATTTTGGAGATTCATATCAATGGAATCATACACTGTGTGACCTTTACTGACTACCTTCTCTCACTTGGCACATTTTCATTTACAAGCATGTCATTCCTTTTTCACTGATGAATAATATTTCATTGTACCACACTTTGTTGATCAGTTCATCAGGTGATAGACATTTAGTCCGTTTCCACCTTGAGCTATTTTGAATATTACTTCCCTCAATATTCAAACTTTTGTGAGAATATACATTTTCATTTAATATATACCTAAGAGTGGAATAGCTTAATCTTATCATAACTCCATCCTTAATATTTTGAGAAACTGCCATTTTTTTTTCAAAACAACTGCACCATTTTACACTCCCAACAGCAATTTATGAGAGTTTGGATATCCCCACATCCTCACCAAAAGGCATTATTGCCTTTCTTTAAAACTATAGCTGTTTTTGAACTATGGCTGGCAAAAAAGAATAATTCAAAAGCATGAGTGGCTGAGAGCCATAGCCAAGTAGGAAGGATGCATGGCATTTTTGGTTGAAAGGTGACCCCAGCAAGCCATTGAGATGATGATGATGATGTTAAGATTTGCATTCACTTGGAGATGAGACCCCTGCTGTCCGCCTCGGGCCTGCTACTTTGGAGCTCTTGCAGGACTCCCCGAGAGAGTTCCCATTGGTTGGGGAAGTGTGGTAGGAGGGAATTCCGGAGGAGGGATTTTCTGTTGGTGTAGTGTGTCCTGGGAGAAGGATGTGTGGGTGGCATTCGCGGGAGGTTTGGAAATAAAGCTTGTTCCTGCTTGAGTGGCTCCTGATTTGTGCCCAGCCAGACTGTGGCAATGAGTAGAGCAGACTTTGAATATTTCCACCAGAGGAAAAATTATAATATCTGAGGTGACTGACATTCCAATGAATCTGGTTTATCATTACATATTATATATATGGATGGAAGTGCCACGCTGCATCCCATACACACGTCCAATTGTAACGTGCCTGTGTGTGTGTGTGTGTGTGTGTGTGTGTGTATATGAGTGTGTGTGTGTGTGTGTGTGTGTAATTACAGCCATCCTAGATGTGAAGTCATATCTCTTTGTGGCTGTGATTGGCATTTCTCTAACAGCTAATGTTGTCAAGCATCATCTCACGGGTTAATTGGCCATCTGTATATATTTTCTGAAGAAATATTCACAAATTCTGCCCATTGTTTGATTAGGTTATTTGTCCTTTGGATTAAGTTATTGGAGTTTTTATATAATTTGGATACCAGACCTTATAAGATAAACAACTTGCAAATGTTTTCTTTTCTTCCATGATTTGGATTATATATATGACTATATCATGTGCAAATACACTTTCTGATTGAGCCATGAGAATCAGAGATGTTTTTAATTTTGAAGTCCCGGTCCTTTCTTTCTCCCACGTTTTAGGAATCCTACTGTTTCATCTTTCACATCAAGGTGTACGTCACACTCAAGGTACATTCTCTGTATTGTGAGACTGAGGTCCGTTCTCACTTTTCTGTGGTGTACGTGGATACCCAGTTGTCCCAGGGACCCTTCTTTCCCCACTGAACTTCCTCAGCACTCTGAAATCCATTGACCACAGACATGAACGTATAACTCTGGACTCTGATCTGTATGGCTAGTCTCAGGCCAGCTACTCGCTGTTTTGCTTATAATACCTCTACAGTAAGATTTGACATCAGAAACTCTGGATGCACTAAATCTGTGCTTTCTCAATTTTCGGGGGGAGCTATTTTGAGTCCCTTTCATTTCCATATGAATTTCACCATTGACTTGTCAATTTGTAGAAAGGATCTGGCTGGGATTTTGATAGAAATTGTATCAAAAGGTAAAAGTAACACTTCCTATATTTGCACATGACTTAGTCTTTTTTAACATAGAAAATCCTGAGGGACTTGCTGAAAATAAATCTGTAGATCAATTTAGGGAACATTAAGCCTTATTTATTTTAATTGTTATAATCCATGATTGAAGTATCTCTCTGATTATTTGTCTTTCTTTCAGATTTATGCTTTTACAGCGTA